CTGCAGGCTCCACAGGGCTGTTCGCCCATGACTGCACAAATGTTATTCAAGCCCTTCTTTCATCAGACAATACAAATAGTATCGTAGCTGAACGTGTTTGCTATGCAGTTCTGTGAATAATGCTGGAGCTTTCCCATGTGCTGAGATTTTTGGGTGACCGTTAATAAAAACATGTATAAAAATACATACTTCGTACTGCGTAAGTTCCTTGGAGCTATAAAGCAGTTGTTGCAGGCAGCTAAAGCTCAGATCTATCACAGGCACAGTTACATGTTACCTTTAAATAGTAAAATGCATGTAGTAAAACTTGATTTTTTTAGTGCCTTTTGATAATTGCATGCAATTTCAGTGTTTCCTCTCGTATTTAGTGTATCGTTATTTTTCTCCCTCTTTTCCCCCCACCAAAAACGTGGCGCCTTTCATAAAAGTGCTATAGCATCTTGACTGTAAGGAAAAGACCATTAAACATCTATAAACACCACCACCCCACCCCCCGCCAAAGCGTGCTGCTACCAAGTCTTTCTTTGAAAGTTGCAATGCATTACCCTGATCTAGAGAGGCTGTGGCTCTGGCAAAGGCATTAGAGGAACGCAGATGAAGTATTTCTAGGAATCATTTGTAATGCGGGTGGTTCTCGGGACGGGGTTGTCCCCTGTGAGCCTGGTGACAGGAGGGACGACAGCCTCGTTTGAGCCACCGCGTGCGCTCGCTGTCTCCAGCTGGCTGGAGACACAATTACTGGTGGTGGTGGTGGCACCGTGCTTGTCAGGAATCCCTTTGGGCCGTCAAATGCCTTCCAAATTAGATATAACGGATGATCAGCTCGGGCTCCTCTGGGCTTCACTCAGGAGCAGGAGCACTGCGTGGCGAAGGATTAGAAGCGTGGGGTGAAAGGCAGGAGGCACAGCGAGTGGCGAAGGATGGAGTAGGAGACGCAGGGCTGAGGGTGAGAGGGAAAGGATCCATCTCCACCGCTGGCTGCGGCGCCGCAGGGTGCTCATGAGCTTTTCTGCAAGAAGTTTCACACAGTGTGCGGCTCTGTCCTGCGTGCTTGGACGTGCGCTGGAATCCCCCCACCCACCCTGCCCCAGTCTGCATTACCCATTTTCTACTTCGGCTTGGAAGAAGCCAAATTGCTGCCAAGGCCAAAATTTATTGCTGCTCTCAAATGGATGGGGAGTCCGCTTGATGGGACCGTTTTGAAAGGGAGTCACAAATCACATCAGCAATATCCCATTTCACAGATTTATTTCTTCTAGTGACTGTGATCCCAGTGAGGAATGGGTTTTGATGGGCTGGGAGCTTCATGGTTTTTCTAAATGGATTCATGGCTGCTTTTTCAATTTGGGACTATGTGTATGTTAGAATAAATGAAAATGTTTCTATGATGATAAGTAGGTATAAGTGGAAAGGCGCTTTTCATGCGTTATCTAACCATATGTGAAAGAAAAAGAAATGAAAAAGCTTCCTTCTTGCATTGCCGCGCTGCGTCTCCTGCTTCTGCTGATTCACGTCTGCGTTAGGACCACATGGGCAATTTCCCGCTGTCACTTCTTTGTTCAGGCAGCCTCTGCTAAATGTACTTGTTTTGATAAAACAAGAGCTGGGAAATGAAATTAATTAGCTGGTGCCTTCTGGAGAGGCAACTGGTGTTTTTTGTTCGTGTGAAAGGGACGTGGGGGAGGGAGAGGTTCGGTTCCTGGCGTATATCGGTTAGTGTGCATGTTATTTGGTTCTTCCTGACAAATTCATACGAAGCAGCTTTTCCGCTCTGAAGCTTTTTAGTGAACTAATCTGTAAGAGTGTTGAGGAGGAGACACTGGTTGGCGTGGCCACGCAAATGGAGCAGTCTGGGAAGGTGTTTAGCTTGCTCCGTAAGCAGGGTACCAGGCCTGCTGTAGAACCATAGAATCACAGAATTGTTTAGGTTGGAAAAGCCCTTTAAGCTTCCCCAGCCCAACCGTTCCCCTACCCCTGCCATCCCACCCCCAAACCCTGGCCCTCAGCACCGCCTCTGCCCGGCTGTTAAATCCCCCCAGGGCTGGGGACTCGACCCCTTCCCTGGGCAGCCCCTTCCCGGGCCTGACAGCCCTTTCGGTGAAAAAATTTTTCCTGATGTCCAACCTAACCCTGCCCTGGCGCAACTTTGAAGCCGTTTCCCCTCATCCTATCGCCTACTATTGGCCCCTGCCCTGTGGCCTTTCCTCCTCTGATGTGGAGGGGATGCCTCCTAGGCACAAACAAAACCATTTTTCAAAGTCTTTCAGCTCTCCCCAGTTTACCTCTTGCTTCCATCTGTCATCTTTGTCAGCATTGCGGCCTGGACACGAAATCAAAGGCCAGACTCATCTGAGAGTCAAGGGATTTGTTTGTCTATTTAATTTAATCTGCCATGCCACAGAGCAGGAGCAAAACGTGCTGCATGAGCAGGCAGCGCGTGCGCGAGAAGACACCGCGCCCGACCCGTGCTCCCGAGGGTCCAGCCAGCACTGCCAGCCGTAGTTCAAAGTCCGAGCTGCATCCGTGCTGCCCGACGTGTGCCATTGGGGTTCTGGCTGCTGCCAGCTCATTCCCTCTTAGGATTTAAAGTGAAAGTCTGAACGTTGGACTTCCAGGAGTAAATACCTATTACCTTGCCGTCCTAGTCCCTGCTTTCATGTCCTCAGCAGAAACACAGAGACTGCAGTGTGAGGAACCATTCCTAGGAGAGAGCAACTGGACGATTGGGTTGAACATCAGCAAGAGTTGCAAATAATCCTGGCGATACACAAAGTCAACAGGAAGCCATGGGGTGAGCACCATGTCATCTTGCTCGTCAGAGCAGGGTGGAGGTGAAGATGACCCAGGGTTTGTGCATTGACCTGGAGAGTCCCGTGATCAGCTGCTTCAGGATCAGTAGCGGGAGCGGCACAGAGGGGAAGCAATTTCTAGTTTGGCTGCAGAAGTTTTACTGTAGTTCATGCACCGTTTGTCTCCTGTGCAGGATTATCTGATGGCTTTTCTGAGTCACTGCCACCACTTGAAGGTTCAAAAGTTGCCCTGTAGAGCTGCTGATGGGATTTTTTCAGACTACCACAGCATAACTTTGTAGTGACGAATGCATTTATTCAGCAGCTGCCCTGCGTGCTGTTTTGGGATGACTGGTGGTCTGAAAGCATGAAGAAATTATGATTTATATTAGCGGTGTCTCCAAAGCATCACTGTGTGGACAGAGAGATTTTGTTCAGAACCCTTCAGTTTCTCCAGTGTACATCATCACCTGTCATCAGTTACTTGGCCTGGCTTTAATCTGATATCACTTGAACTACAAAATGCTTTAAGACATTTGCCAGCCAGTCAGCTATTGAGCATAGGCAAGATAGATTTTTTTTATTTTTTTTTTAAATGGTGTCATTTAATCATAAGAGCATGCTTACGTTTAAAACTGGCAACGGGCACCATTTCACCAAGGAAATACAAAGTTTGGGAAGTGTCTGGAGCAAGGAATCTGATCCCTAGCCAAAATGACGTGTTTCTTAGATGGATAATCAGATTGTCTGACAGACGCACGCTGCCATGAACCTTGGCAATCTGGTATTCGCCCTCCAGTGGCGTCAGCAGAGCTAGGAAAGGATGTCATTGCCCCTGATCGGCGTACATGGAGGTCCTCCTTGGTGGCAGACATCCCAGTACCCCTCATGTGGTCACTGCCATTTTCCTGGCCTTAACACCAGTGGGCTCTTGTTGTTTCAGTCTATCTGGGGCCAGATGAGTGTCTTACGGCTGTTCGCTCTACAGCAAAGATGATGGGCAAGAACAGGAATACGGGGCTTAAATCATTTATAGCTCCATGCATACGTTTAAACACAAACCAGAAGAAAAGTAACTAAGACAGACTCTTTCCATTCTTGTTAAATCACCCTTCTGTAGCCTTAACTTTTCTGTGGCAGATGGAAGAACATAACCATAAATAAGTTTGCAGAAGACGCTAAAGTATTTATGTGGCATGGCACGCACACCCGGTAGCAAGTTCCTTTCAGCAAGAAACACAGATGAAAGCTGTCTGCAAACGTTGTAGGTAGATGAAATTCCACTTTAAATTCTAATTTTGCATGCAATAAAAGCTGCCGATAGTGGATGGAAGTATTAACCATGGCAAGAACGCCGTCTGAGGCTGCTGATCGCTCCTCGGCTGGCAGCGTCTCTGTCCCACAGCGGCAGCGTGACAGATAAGCCTCCAGGATTTTGAACATCTCATCCAAGGCAACTGTTTCCCTCGTGCAAAAGATGGAGGTGGATACCCAGCCATTTTGCGTAAAAAGGGATCCTAAGGGAAAAGCTTTGTTAAATGATATAGGAGGAAGATAATTAAATGGATCTGGCCGACACTGTGAAAGAAAAGCAGCTTCCTCTCCTGAGGCTGCGGGAGAGCGCTGTGATTTCACATCTCGGACGTGATGGGCTTTGGTCCCCTTCTGCCCAAACACGAATTGTGCCTGTAATCACAAACACTTAAAGTCCTTCTCATGCTTAACCGAATCCCCGGATGTTTTAAATCATTTTAGGATCCGCCAAGTACTTAAATAAGCAGGGTTGCCCAGGGTATGTAATGATAGGATGGAAAATGTCAGGGATGGGTGTGAGCAACATACTGAAAGCAAATTACCCCTCCCCTTCTGTCTGTCGCCAGTGGTGGAAAAGCGTAAATGTTGTGTCCATGGACTGGGATTTTCAGGGGTTGCAGAAACCCAATGCCTTGCACTGCAAATTACAGAGTTAAGGGGCGGGGGGAGCTAATACATGTGTGTCTAAGGCAAGCAAACAAGTAAAACCCCTTGTTTATAACCAGCGCTGCGTCCCGCTTGCCTCTCCTGATCAGTCTGTAGAGAAAATTGGCACCGGATCATTCAGGCTGATGGACTTGGAAAGGGGTAAGGGCTGTTGAGCTGCATCTGTGGTGGACAGCAGGCATCACTGCCCTATATCCACAGGCTGGCACCCCTTTCTCTGCCCTCTGCCCAAAAGCCATAGTTGAGGTATATTGCTTGGCCCAGGTCCCCCCATCCCGTCCTAGGGCCAGAGGGCTGGTAGAAATCACCGCGCTGAAGTGCTGTCTCGGAGAGGGGACGCTTGGCAGCAGGCTCACGGAGGCCGGGCGTCTGCTCTTCCTCACAATTCATCTCGTTCTTCCTCGTTGCAAATGCAGGCGCTCCTTTGGCTGTTCATGAAGGGCCGGCAGCCCAGGGTCCAGACGGTGTTGAACACTGCGTCTGCGACGGATTCGCAAGCTGCGGAGAAAGAAAAGATCAGGCAGGTAGGTAACAAGGGGAAGCACCCTCACCTGAGCCCTGCGCCGAGTCGTGTGGTATTTGCAGTTGGAAGCGTGGGCTGTCTTTTTCTCTCTGGGTATTGCATTTGTATAAATCCACAGGTTCTGTTGAATTGGGAACTCTTTTCTCCCTAGGGTGGTACTAAACTGGCACTAACTTCTCTCCCTCTCCTTTCTTGCCTCTCAGGCTTTTCTGGTTGATGCATCATTTGGGGCACTGCAAATAGCACTGTTTACCAAGCAGATTTCCCAGCAGACCACCACGGCACTGTCTTTCCCAGCTCCCTCACCCCACAGTTGCCTATAGCCAACCTCTTCTGTTTTTTGGGAGTTACAACGCCAGCAAGCATGAAAAAATCCTGCTGTGGTGGCAGCAGCAGAGCTGTTGATGTGGTCTGTCTGACTCCTAGCTCCTCCTCTTCCCCAAAACCAAGCCTGAAACTGCTTGTCACAAATAGCTTAATACCAGGTCTTTTAGGGTTTACTCACTGGCACTAACATTGCTCGTATGCCGAATAGATTGGAGAAGACCCTGCCTTTGGGACTGTGTCCTCCTGTCTCAGTCTCTCCGACCACCTCGTTCTGCTCCTCCTGCAACCCAAAAAGCTTGACCCGGCAGAGGAATCTCGTCCTACTTGACTACAGGCAGAGGTGCCTCGGCTCAGCCAAGGAACGTGGGCTCTGCTCCACCTTAACTCCT